CCAGAGCTCCTAACAAATTCATGTTGTTGTTTTGTGCCATCAAGTCGTCTCCGACTCATAGCTACCTTATATACAACAGAATGAAACACTGCCCAGTCCTGTGGCAGCCTCACTATCCCTACTATACCTGAGCCCATCGCTGTAGCCACTGTGTCTATCCATCTAATTGAGGGCCTTCACCTCTTTTATTGACCCTCCACTTTACCAAGCATGACATCTCCAGAGAATGGTCCCTTCTGACAACATGACCAAAGTAGGTGAGATGAAATCTGGACATTCTCGCTTCCAAGGAACATCCTGGCTGCACTTCTTCCCCAACAGATTTGTTAGTCCTTTTAGCAGTCCACAGTACTTCCAGCTTTCTTCACCAACACCACAACTCAAAAGCATCAACTCTTCTTGCATCTCCCTTATTCATTGTCCAGCTCCCACATGCGTATGAGGCAATTGAAAATACTATAGCTTGGGTTAGGCACATCCTAGTCTTCAAGGAGATATCTTTGCTCTTCAGCACTTAAAAGAGGTCTTTTGCAGCAGATTTCCCCAGTGCAATATGTCTTTTGATGTCCTGACTGCTGCTTCCATTGGCGTTGAGTGTAGAACCAGCTAATATGAAGTCTTTGACAACTTCAATCTTTTCGCGATCTATTGTGATGCTGCTTATTGGTTCAGTTGTAAGGACTTTTGTTTTCTTTATGTTGAGTTGAAATACATACTGTAGACTGTAATCTTTAATTTTCATCAGTAAGTGCTCTAAGTCATATTCACATTCAGCAAGCAACATTGTGTCATCTGCATATTGCAAGTTGTTAATAAGCCTTCATCCAATCCTGATGCCACATTCTTCTTCATATAGTACAGCTTCTCAGATTATTTGCTCAGCATACAATCTGAATAAGTGTGGTGAAAGAATACAACTCTGACATGTTCCCTTCCTGATTTTATACCATGCAGTATCCCGTTGCTGTGTTTGAAATTCATAATAATTACATATCTGACAAGGAACTTATCTCTAAAATTTATGGAAAATTCCAACACCTCAACAACAAAAAGATTAACAATCCAATTAAAAAATAGGCAGAAGACATGAATGGACACTTCACCAAAGAGGATATTCAAGTGGCCAGCAAATACATGAAGAAATGCTCACGACCATTAGTCATCAGAGAGATGCAAATCAAAATAACAATGAGATACCATGTCACCGCAACACTAATGGTAATGTTCAACAAGACAGAAAGTAACAAATGCTGGTGAGGATGTGGAGAGATTAGGAGTCTCATACACTGCTGGTGAGACTGTAAAATAAAACCACTGTAGAAAGCACTTTGGTGATTCCTTAAAAAGCTGGAATTAGAAATACCATTTGACCCAGCAATCCCATTACTAGGTATATATCCTGAAGAATTGAGAGTCAGGAGAAGAACAGATATCTGCACATTCATCTTCATCACAGCACTATTTACAATAGGCAAAAGATGGAAACAATCTAGGTGTCCATCAGCTGAGGAAAGGATAACCAAACTATGGTAATACACACAATGGAATACTATGTAACACTGAAGAATAGTGTTGTTGTTGTTGTTGTTATGTGCCGTCGAGTCGGCCCCGACTCATAGCGACCCCTCCTTGGGTTTCCGAGGCAGTATCACTAC